ACGAGCCCAGCACCTCCACTGCCGATGAAGTTCCGTCCATTGTTGCCGAGAGCCAGAACACAGCACATGCGGAGCCCGAGGCCGCAGCCAGCCCTGAGGCTGTTGCTGAGAAGTCCGCCATGGAGCAGGAACTTCTTAGCGAGGTACCCAAGACCAACGAGACTGGTCTCCCGGCTCCCGCCATTGCCATTCCAGCTGTCGTTTCCGAGAGCCAAAAGGAGGCACACGCAAGCCCTGAAGCAGCATCCAGCCCCGAGGTCGTCGCAGAGAAGACTGCCATGGAGTCTGAGCTGTTGCGCGAGGTCCCCAAGACCAACGAGGCCGGCGAGCCAGCCCCCGCCGTTTCCGCTGCCACAGCCACTACTGCTCCTGCCGCTACTTCTGAGACCGTCTCCAGCGACGTACCCGAGGTTGTCGCTGACAGCCAACATGAGGCACACGTCAGCCCCGAAGCCGCTGCCAACAGTGAGGCCGTAGCAGAGAAGTCGGCCGTCGAGTCTGAGCTACTGGACAAGCTTCCAAGATCTGAGGAATCTGGTGAGCCTGCTCCTGTACTGACTGCGGCAACCACCGAGACCGCACCTGCTGAGACCACATCTGCTGCTGCGACTGCTGCAGGAGCTGCGGTTGCTGCGACCGCCGTTGCCGGTGCAACTGCTGCTGTCGTAGCCGGCACTACCAGGGAATCAGTCAACGAGTCCGTTGCTCGTGATGTTCCGGATGTCGTCGCTGAGAGCCAGAAGGAGGCACACGTTAGTCCCGAGGCCGCTACCAATGCTGAGGCTGTCAGCGAGAAGCGGGCTATGGAGACTGAACTTCTCCAAGAAGTGAAGTCAACTGAGGCTACCGGCGAGCCAGCTCCCAGTGCTGCTGTTGTAGGAAGCCAAAATGCTGCTGGTCTCTCCGATGAGGCCCTCGTCGATACTAAGCCACTCAAGTCCTCCAGCGAGCCCAACGCACTCAACGCGCCCGCATCGGAGCCCGCTCAACCGCCAACCTCCAAGCCCATCGACTCTACTACCGAAGTCGCATTCAACAAGCAGGAGCCAACTACCACCGAGCAGACCCAGCCGACTGTCACCACCGGCGTAGAGACAACCAAGACCGAGGCCACCAGCTCTGCCCCAGCTGCACAGCTGGCCCCAGAGAGCCCCGCCAAGAACCTCAGGAAAGACTCGGACGTCTCTCCCAAGGGCACTCCAGGCAGCCAGAGCATCGCTTCTGGTGCTGACGATAAGAAGAAGAAGCGCCGCTCTTTCTTCGGCAAGATCAAGGACAAGCTATCCAGCAAGGACAAGAACTAGATGTTTCATCTGTCTTTTCTCGGTACTCTGAGGCCATCTTCATCCATCACGAGGGTCTTTGGAGCTTGGTAATACCCGGGGTTCATGCGCTGTGCTTTCTCACTCTTCCTCTTCATCGTTCGCCACGGAGTTTGTGCTTTTGGTCTATACCATTTTCCTTCCTGTGTCTGACATGTTCCATAGCAATCTGTTGCGTCATTTCTGTTCATATGCATCTCGAGACGTAAGAGAACGTGGGTAGACGGAAGAGATTGCACTCATAGTATACCTGGGTTGCTCGAAATAAGTTGGCTACCGATGTCGAAACGTGGGGTATTGGCATGCCAGCGGGATTGTATTTAATTTGCTAATGACGATGCGTTAGATTCGCTTCACACTAATCTCATCTCAAAACCTCGACCGCCCGTCACATTCATCATCAACTATTGACTTTCACAATGCACGAACGATCATCGATGTCGTAGCATCGCTCGTCCACAGCCCGTCACTATCGAGCACATGAATTCACTATACGCTACGTTCGTATCGCACTGTGCACATACCATGGCGCCTCCCTCCGTCTATACAACTTGCCTCTCATAAACATCCATACGAACTTAACGTACCACACACAGGAACAACAACCCACAGTAACTACACTGCTCTACTACTTTAACAACGTCAAAGACTCAGTTTCGAACATATCGAAACAAAGACTAAAGTAGACACCTTCCACCAACGCAACACAACAATCACGGCCGCTCAACGCTATGTCGTTCTACGGTTTTGCTCATGGCGCCGACCGCCATGACACAGGCTGCACTCTTCAGCAGTCACCTCAACCGCGCAACATTTCCCGTCACATTCGCAATCACAGCGAAGGCTCCCAATACCGACCCACGCACCATGCCAGAGTTCGCTCTCGTTATGGAGCTGCAACGGAATTAACGCAAATGATCGATGACCATGCGGCAACATGGCAATCCCTTATCGCACCTGCTCAGAACAATCGGCCAGCTAGTCAGGGCACTATGATCGTCGATTGGGATGGTAATATGAAACCGATCGTTCACTACCGAAGGAAGTCACAGGAGGAGCAGGACCTCGCGGCACTGAATAGGTCATCAGCACAGCCTCTGCCTTTATCAATCCGACGCGGTGTCCAGAACATGGATCCAATCATGATGGCACATGAGCAGAAGCCACTGCCATCGCTACCCACCGACAGACAAACACCTGTTCGCTCTCACATTCGGTCAGCAGAGCACAGTCCTCGCACATCCTCAGAATCCGTATCTTCTCACAACTCCTCTCGCCATGACTCTGTCATCTCCGATGACCAGCCTTCACCCCGCCGCCGCCTCGACCTGCATGTCCGGACATCTAAGAAAGTCCCTACGACCCCAGCCCCCTCATCGTCGAAAACACCAATCTACGAACAACACAAGTGTATCAATATGGTAAATGGTGTAGCAACCTACTTTCCCTCTCGCGTCTCACAAATCAGCGGTGCGTCTCGCCCGGGCTACGTCAAAGGCTATGACAATGACACCAAAATCAGATACGAGACCGATGGCCAGTCATTCTACGCGCACCGCAGTGCTGAACAATTATTTTCACCCATATCCGACCACTTTGACGTTGATGAGGATGAGTATAGCCAAGAAGGCGAGCCGCACGTTGAAGATCAAGGGATCACTGCTCTACCGGCTAAACAAGTAAAGAGGAGGAGTAGTGTTACTAAGCTGGTGGAAAAGGTACTCTCCAAACTTGACGGGCTGGGGCTGACGAAGAAGCTCAAGGAGGAACGGAGGAGTAACAAGAAGAAGCAAAGTTGGCGGGAGCATGGGTATCATGATTGACAATTAAAAATTGGATTTGAAAACGTACTTTCAGGATCTACTCCGCTCACAGTGATGTTTGATTAGCTAACAGGAAGACAGGATACTATTGACTGAGTATGCGTGGGAGTGAGTGGAAATGACTCATTGTGGCTTGAGGTGGCTGCGCCGAGTATAGCTTGACACGTGACTCGGTGGTCGCCAGTACTGTCAGGGCCAGTAAGTGTGAACTAATTTACCTATATAAGATTTGAATGCCTGGATACATCGATTGGCCAGACCAAAGCCGATCGCATTCGCGCCTTCATACGAGAGGTACTTTCCTACCTTCTCAACCGAGAGCCACCTACCTCTTCTTCACGCAACCCTCACAACAAACAACTACACAGACAACCTCAGAGATGAAATCGGAATCGCGGACAGCATTTCCTTGCAACACATGTTCTCTTTCTTTCACCAGTAGCGCGATACAGCGTGCACATATGCATCAACCCTGGCAGTAAGATCATCCCGAGCATGTAGATGCGGAAGTAATAAGACTGACATTCTGTGACAGCATTCACAATCTCAAAAGGCGCATTTATGAACTGCCAGCTTTATCCGAGCAAGATTTTGGAATGCTAGAAGGCAAGAGCGAGGAGGCCACGCACCGACAGAGAAAGAACGACGATGCTCTCATACGGAGACCTCGGACTGCTGTTGCGCACAACATCAGCGGACGCAATACCAATTTCAACCCACAGACGAAAGACACACAAGACGACTATCTCAAGACTCCGTCATCAACAAGATGTCTCTTCTGCCCCTCTTCCTCTCCCACTCCGACCACAAATCTAGACCACATGTCAACATACCACAGTCTCTTCGTACCCGCGCCTTCGCAACTCTACTCTTTACAGTCTTTTCTCTCGTATCTGGCCGTTCTGGTGTACAAATACCACGAGTGTCTCTACTGTGGACAAGAGAAAGGGAGTTTGGATGCTGTGCAGACGCATATGAGGGATAAGGGGCATTGTATGATTGACATGTCGGAGTTGGTGGATTTCTGGGATGTAGATGTGGAGGAAGGAGGAAGTGAGGATTGGAATTACAAGATGGAGGCCGAGACGCATCTACCATCTGGATCGGCCATTAAACCCCGGCGTAGCCATGGCGGAGATGAGACGTCATCAGAAGCTGCCAACCCAGGTTTCACACGTTCGCATTTCCGCAGTCCAAGACACCAAAAATTAAAATCCGCCATTACTGCCGCCAAATATTCACCCTCCCAACAACCTCCTGCCACACATTCACAGCCCGGTCATCTATCTGCATATCACATCAGCAACGATCCCCATCGCAACCTCACTACCACCCCGCGTTCGGCAAAAGGTCTAATCGGCCTGTCCGACCAACAACTCCGCACTCTTCGGATAGTGGATAGGAAAATGAAGAGCAGAGAGGAGAGCGCAAAGGCAAAAGGAAGGTATGCGTCTCAACAGCGGCCGGTCAAGACGGTGTATTATAAGACCGAGAACCCTGTGTATCAGGCTGGATGATCGGATGGGGGATGGAGGATGGATATGTGGAATATGATGGTTTTGCACGTAGTGGGTTGAGGACTACAATTGTGCTGGCAACTGGGTAGTGAGATGTTGAGTTGACCTGGGAGGTATTTAGTGAGGATGTGAAGGGTAGATGATGTAGTCGAAAACGTATGTAGACCGCAAGGGCTATGATGAAGAGCAATTTTAGAAGATGATGATGTGTTGAAGGATGCCAGGCTTACTTGTGTACTGAGCCATTTCGTCTACTGTATGCCTGACCCAGAAACTATTCACCAAGTGTACAGAGCAAGATATATGTCCTCACAAGCCTATGTAGGCGGCAAACACCCTCATAATGAGCCACCGAAGCACCCAAAGTACCCTGAAGGGAGCAACGCATACCCGGATATCTACATACCAGACTCAGCCCTCTTCACCCACAAGTCCAGATCAGCGCTATCAAGAATGCAAATGCCTTCATCGATGTCCATCTCATCTTCATCGCCATCCACGTACAATTCCTCGATGTCGTCCTCATACGACTTGTCAGGCTCGTCCAAGCTCATGACGTTGAAGTCGCTCAGATCGCCAGTGTCGATTAGCGTCGCTTGCGAGCCGATGTTGCGGGCTACGTGCATGTCGACGACTCAACTCTAAAGCGGAGCACTTATCTTACTGTGCTCTTAGATGCGCGAGGGCTTTGAGTAGAATGCCCCCAGCGCCAATTCAAGAGGTAACGACGATGACAACATATAAGTGATGCGTTGATGACATCTACCTTTCGATAAACCCGAGAAGTACTCGTGGAAGGTATTGAGGGTAGGCAATGATCTCATAAACCTATGTAGATGGAAAAGCTTCTACCCAACAGTTCCGCCAAACACTTAAAGTGGCTTGAGGAGTGCCAGGCATACCTATCTCTACACGTTTTTCCAGTCATACCACGATGTCAAGTCCACACTCGCCATAGCCTTAGCACCACCTCCCTCCTTTACCATTTCATCCAAGCCCTTCTCAAACCCCTCACCTGGCTCCTCCACTCCAGATACCTTGAGTTCTTCGCCGCCCTCAACAGCTTCTTTGTATTCTTCACCCTTAGCACCATCACCCTCACCCAACACCCTCACACCAGGCATCCCCTCAATCAGTCCCTCTAGCAACGCATTCCCAGCACACAACTTCTTGATCCTACTGTCGTCATACTCGAACAGCGACGGCAGTACACGTTTATACACAAACGGCACATCGCCCTGCGGTACCGACGGCGTAGTCTTCTTCTTTCCCCTCTTCCTCTTCTTAGTCAGCACCTTCTGCGCCATTTCATTCATCTGATCTTGACCGCCTTTAAAGCAGAAGTCGAACAAGGCGCGTGTCGGGGGAGGTACTTGAGTCCAATCTGGACACGCATTGCGTGCTTCGGCGAGGTATGTAGTCAGCTTCGCTCGGACATATTCGTTGCGTGAGTCACCGCTGAGTACGATAAAATCGTCGGGGTTGTCTTTCAGCATGTGAACGAAGGCGAACTGGTGCTTTGTGGGATTCGCGGGGTCGAACTGGGCGCCGAGACTGGGATGCTGGACGTATTCCATGTAGGCTAGTGTGTAAGCCTGTAGAACGGCGTTAGTGAAGTGATAGCCTAAGGTCTCGAGAAGACATACCGCCATCATGGGTGTGTCAGTCTTGTTGAGCAGTGACACCAGATTGACCAATAGCCGAACACGCGTTTGCTTGAGGTAGCGGGAGAAGCACATATGACGATTGACGTTGGAAGTGAAGTAGGCGAGTATGGTTTGAACTGGCCATTCTGACATGGGGGTGAACGATTGCATTGCCCGCGCGATAGCGCCGCGGTGCTTGAGCTGACCGGCAAATGTCGCGCCTTCTGCGACAGCAGCGCTATGGATTCGTTAGTATGAACAAGTTGTTGAATGGACTTATGAACACGGAATAAGACTTACACTTCATAGGGAAAGTACTGTTGCTGCGGGGAAGGAGAGAGAATGGTTTCGAGCGGTAGCGTCTGCTGGGCGCGGAGGCCGTTAGGTACCCTGTCGGTCTTGCGGCGGAGAAGCTCTTCAAGCGCCGTCATATCTTCAGGTGTCAAGTTCTGCGACATCTTCTCGACATCTTCGGTGTTTTCGTCCATGTTGGTGGCGGAGTGTAAGCGGACAGTGTCGATCGCAGTGAATAGAACGCGGAGAGCGCACTTTACGCGACTGACTAAAACCTTAGGAGAGTAAATGACGTGATGGAGCAAACGTTTGGTGGAGTCACGGGATTAAATTGGACAGAGTCCATCGGGAAAGCGGAGAACCCGGGCTACGCGGTCGTAAAATGCGACAACACGCCTCAATATTGGATGGGCAGCACTATAGAATGAATGTGAGATCAAGTTGAGAATCATCGAAGTAGAAATGCTGTACACGCAACTCTCCCAGCATATGTGCTTCGTTCGTGACTATGGCGGTTGAAATTGACTCTTAGCAAGCTATATAGCGGACGAAATTCCCACCCATTACCGTGAAGATCTACCAACAACCTAAGCATCTAGACCTACTGTCGCCGAGTATGTATCGACGCCAATTCTATCTCCAATAGTCTGTTCCTTGTCCGAACAGTGTTGTAGAGAACCAAAATGCTGCTCAATCGAAGTTCAGTGTGACGACGTCGCCGAGGCGGGAAAGATCGACCTCCGGCATAGTCAAGACATGCAAGACAGGTCGAGCTGGGCCCTCTACCGGTGTGACATCCATTCCGATGTCATTGGAAACCTTCAAGCCATCGAGCCCGTCAGCGATGTCGTCTACAACCAAGATATCGACAGTCTCGTAGGTACGGATACCCTGCATAGCCTTCAAGAGGCCCGTCAAGATGCGATAGTCGGCGGTGAAGGGTTGGTACTTGGTAACATCGAGCTCGATGACACTGGTAGGGCTGACGCCAGGAATGTTATCCGGCTTGTCATTCTTAACGATGTGTTCAGCTTCGAAGAACTCGATGAGAGCCGGTCCAATCTCAGCCAGCTTCTGGTGACGGACGTTATGGGGATCGAAATTGGCTTCAATGGACTTCCAGGACTCGACTAGCTGACGCATGTCCTTCAAGATAGCCTTGTTGCGGTTCTGCGTGCAGATATCGAAGTCTTTGGGGTTTTGTAGCAGCTCGTGGATGAAACGCTCGCGATAATGTGTTGGCTTGAGGCCGCGATCTTGGATGCGCTTGTTTCCGTTCTCTTCAGCGCAGGCGAGCATGTAGACCTTCTGGACGTTCGTGGCCCTGTTCTCGTATTTGGCGTACGCGGCGAGGTAAAGGCGAGCGCGGGTCTGTCGAAAGTAGCTTGAGAAGCTGATGTTGTCGTTGCTGTTGCTGCAGAAGTAGGCCAAGGCGGTCTCAAAGCTCCATTGGCCCATCGGGACGCGGTTCTTGATGTTGTATTTCACTTCTCCGCGACGGAAAAGCACGCCTGCTAAGGTGGCGCCCATGTTGACTTGCATGGCAAGTGGATGACTAGCAGGAATTGTCAGCGCTCTCCACGACCACATCTCGGGGAATGCGATAATGCTTACTCTTGATAGGGATACATGTTGTTGACGCCATTCGCAGCGAGGATTTGGTCGAGCGTGATATTAGGATAGAGAGCCGGTGAGACCTTGATGAGTTTGCGGCGAAGTACCTCACGCAGGAGCTGGTACTCAGAAGGCTCGCCGACACGTCTGACAAGGGCTGCAGGGTTAGACATCTCCAGAAATAGATGTTGTAGGAAGCTAGCAGGGTGTGTTGGGGGGAAAGGTGTCGCGGAGGGTGTTTGTTTCCAGAAGATACAGGCTAGCGGGAACACTAAGGTAGAGAGATAGTAGGAAGGTGAGTGAGCGGGTAGTCGGCAGGTGAGAGGGTGGGTAACAACATAGTGAAGGGAACACGGTAGCTGCCTATTTGCGCTGCCTTCACTTCGCTTAGCTGGGCAAAAAGAAAGGGCAAAAAAGAAGATACACCGGTGTCTTGTTCCCAGATCCATATCTAGGGTGTATGTATTGGTTTTAAGAACTCCGAAGAGTGATAAGGTAAGGTAGGGTTTAATGCCCAGGTCCTGACTTGAGAGAGAAACACGTATTTCTGCTCCCAGGTCACCACTCAGCCCAAAGAATGCAACTCGGTGTTGCAAACTAAGGGCTGAGTGGTTGGACCTGGGCTCGAACGTGGATAGTCAGCGAGGCTTTTCATTTTGGGGGGGACACTTAACTAATGGTGTGTACCAACCTGCGACACGAGGCAGGCTTTACGGAATAATTGTATTACTCTCAAATTGTAGCAATTATATACCCATGGTAAGTCCAATTCTCAATATCTAGATGCAAATTTGATATCGCTGTGTTGATAAATGTGCGTGGTAAGCGGGCGCGACTCCGCTCTCACTCAGGGCAAACGACCCCACAATAGCGGTATCAGCGCGGCTGCCTGATATGAAGCGCTAAGCGCAAGACCAGGCTTGAACTACTCCGTCCTGCAAGGTATGCGCCGTTTCCCTATCGTTCATCGCCATGTGACGCGCGACCAAGACGTCACTCCCGTGCTCTTAAAAAGAGCCGTGGGGCTTTCCCCAAACCTCGTCAGATGAGGATTGCTTCAGTGGCAGCCGAGTGAACACCGTAGGCGATAAGTGCAATGCATGGGTCAGGTGGAGGCTTGAAGGAAAGAAATTGGACGCTGAAATTTGCTTGCGACGAGGCTTATGGATGTGCGAATCCTAACAGAGAGATAAGAAAGCAGACGACTCCTTTCGCAATAACTTGATGGAGACATAAAGTAATGAGGCAATGCATGATGTAAAGAAATGATAATAGTCGATGCGAAGACCTCTCAGAGGGACTTCCCTGGTGAGGCAGCGCGTATTATCACGGGCATTTAGACAATAGCAAGACAATAGGGAGACGTGACAACAGTGATAGAGACAAATTCTAGCATATCCATGAGGCATGAAATGAATTCGCAAGATATTTGTGGGTGAGAGACACGGAAAAGATAGAGATTCGCAGCTCTGACGTTGTGAAGAGACGCGTCAAACTTCGCGCACTACACCACTTCGGGAACGGCAGCCCACATCCTCCACGTGCACCTTCCACGAACACTTCAATGAACTTTACCTTCACTGTCGGCATTACTATATGAGCTACGTCTCGGCATAACGTGCTTCTGAGGGCTCTTCTGACTCCTCGAATTACTTCAGCTCCTTTGCAACCTTCTAGTAGCACTAGTTATCTGCTCCCTGTTCTTAAGCATACACGTTAAGAGAGTCCTGCCGAATCCTATATTCCCGTCGACTAGTTTGGTAAGAGTAGCTAATGTATAGAGCTGGGTTAGTGATTCTGTTCTTATTGTCTGCAATGTACTGATAGCCGAGAACTGCGGAATGACCGGCATGAACGGCCAACCCGGCACCTGAAGTTGCCACGCATGTGCTACTGAGACTTACTCTAAGAGATTGCAGGATCTTAACTAGAGCGTCAGCCAACATCTCGTGGCGGTCGGCATGAATCCAACAGTGTCTGAAGCTCGTAAGTGCTGAGCTGGGCTATGAGACTTCGACAAGGCCTGTGGGGGTCAGGATGACGCATATGGTCTAGCGTCTTGGCGCCCCTGTCGACGCGTCTGGACGAGGGCTCCCAGCCTCCGTCTTCTCGACTTCTCCCGACCGTCATCATGATAGCTAGTGCACTCGCGCTATGGCGTCTGACTTCTAGTGCTGTTGCAGCCAATACTATGTCATGACGCTTCTGTCTCGGGCAATCGCTCTCTACCAGGCAATCGCATCTCTATCAGGGACTGCGCATGCGCCATCTCGCCCAAGCGTGAAGAGGACGCGTCGAATTTGAACCATAACCTCAACCATAGGCCGACTATCCGTCTCTTTCGACCTAGGGCGCGGCTCAGCCTACCGCATAGATTCGTCATCAGATTTTTGTGTGCGGCCAGGATCCTCAATGGCGATATATGCATACTTATGTATACTAGGCCATGTTTTACTCCCGATCTGCGCTTTCTACTAAGCTCAAGAGCTGTTTGCGGTTTACATAATATTGCTGAACTACCAGACAGGCTTCTACAATCTATAGCAAACGTGCACGGCAAACATCATAGTCAAATGGAAAATGTGGAAAGACTTGCGACGGCCAATGAAACTCAGTATGGATGGGTAGAGACCAGCCACCAAAATCTCACCTCCAGAAATCATCGCCACCAACACCGCCAATGCTCTCCATGATACCCCGTGTCATCTTTCGGTCGTAGGGAAATCCGCGTAGATCACAGTTGGCATCAGCAATGTCAATCGTTAGTCATACTTCTTTGTTCCATGGATGTCTTTCCCACGATAGTCACGTATACGCCGCGCCCAAGCCAAGATCAAGACTACCTGCCCTCTCAAAGCATGGACTATCGTCAGTTAGTGTCAACAGCCCTGACATGCAGGGTCTTTGTTGCTATCGTCGCATTCGGGCAATGGACGGCGCGGGATTATTCTGGGCATCGAACCGCTGTAGCACACTCGTGGCTGCTTGGCCAACTTGTGACGGGATGCCTTGTATCCTACTACGAAGTATAAGAGAAGCAATCCGCTGGAGATAGGCTCGTACAACACCCTTCATCCTCCAGCGCAGACAACGAAAGTGGTAGAACAATTCCTTCCAAAAATGCATTTCTCCACCTCTGCTCTTCTCTCAGGCATCGCTCTGGCTGCCACAGCTGCCGCGTACGACAGCGTCACCTTCACAACATGGAACTGCACTGAGTGCACCCCGGTGCCGGGCACGTTCTGTTCTGTCAACACCCGATCCAACCTTCCACCGGACCTTTGCATCACCATGTGGAATGGAAGTACCACCATCAAGACTTACGACGCAACAATCCCGTCTTGCCAAGGTAACGAAGGCGGACGCATCTCTTCTGGCGAAGGTCGGGCTAACGTGTTGTGCAGTCAATCTCTACCCCGAGTTCAACTGCGGAGGAACGCCGGAGGTGCACAAGGACAACGGTGGGGTTTGCGAAAGCAAGATTCCATCAAACAGCTTCAAGATCACATGTTAAACCGCCTGGCGCATCTAAAGTAGAGGTGTCTATAAGGTCTCTGCAGTACGTGCTTTTTTGTCAATATCATGCGATGTTTCTTGCATCTTCGTCTCTTATCGCCGCTCGCTGTTCGTTCAACACATGACAGGAGCGGCTTATATATATCTACAATAAAGGGCGTCTCCAATATCTTTGCGCGCATGACGTTCGTTTCGACGGGGATATCTCTACTCATAATGTTGAAGCATTTCCAATGCAATTAACTTTGGAATCTCTTGCGACGTGATCATGGAAGGCTGCCACGAGGGTAAACAGATTGATACTCTGATCGTGGCGAAAAATGACGGCCATGATCTAGCCACCTCACGTGCACAAAAAACTTCTACTTCTTAACAAAAGAGTAGTGAGACCAACACGAGGGTCGGACTAGTCGCCTCGAGCCGACACTTGCGAAGGGAGAGATGTAAGATTGAAGTGGCAAGCCGAAGGTCGTGTATGCTTACTGTAAATACGCCCGTTCACCAACAGCTTTCCGTGTGTACCCCGTGGTCTGTCCTTAATCGTACTAAAACCCAACAAAGCCTCTCTTCGTGCTGTCGCCGCCGCAACATGGCCTAACAAAGCGTGCGTGCGTACGCGTTCTCAGTCATGAGACGGATTCATAGCGAGCGTCAGCATTCTCACAGGGCAATAATATCAGTAAGATGTTATCGGTTGGCAAAATAACCCGATCATGTAATCCGCAGCCTCATGCTTTGTATAAGAATGCATTACTGTGAGCTCAGGAATCATCTTCTCTCCCATCAAATCTTCTCCTAAACACCACATATCATTTCTCTCCTCGACGCCAAAACTTCCCACTATCTTCAACATGCAGCTCTCAACTACCTTCCTTGCCCTCGCTTCTGTATTCGTCGCATCCAGCGCCGCACAGGGTACCCTCTCGTCTACGATCTCGACGTGCGCCGCCTGCAGCACCGCATCCGGATGTCTGATTGAGGGCTCAACCAACCTCCCCGCCAACAGGTGCATCAGCATCTACGACGGCAACAAGAGTCTCATCATTACCGAAGCTGCTAACCCCAACTGCAAGAGTAAGTTCCTATACCAGGAATACGACTTCGCTAATCTTTGCCGATAGTCAATCTGCACACATCTTTCGACTGCACAGATGAAGCCCCAGAGGTGTTCGGCGAAGTCGGTGTTTGTGAGGCGTATGGCCCTAAGAACTCGTACAAGATCACCTGCTAGACGATCATGAGGAGTCGATAGGGTTGAACATGGCGGGTGACATCGGTAGATGGTAGCCGGCAACGGCAGTGGTGGATATCAAATCACAGTCTTTACCGCTAGAACCTTTGCTTATTAAATAGAACAACGCTGCTTCTTGTTGGTTCAACACGTAACGAGAGTGTGCCGGACTCATTCAAATCATACTTTACGCACTATTTCGGCCTTGTTCGAATGCCCAGTGACGATGAAGAGTTGAGAAAATGTGATTATAATGCTACTTTGGGCATATAAGCCCCGCCACCCGCTCACCGGCGAGGAAGTTATCAAACAGTTAAAACCCAGTAGTGATAAGTCCCTATGAAATGATCAGAGATTCTGCATCTCAACAAGAGACTGCAGAGTTCTCCTCATGGACACTCGATCGCGCAGGAAGTTCCCTGTCAGCTTGCAAGCCATTCATCTATGCGCCTCCGCCAACCTCCACCAGAATTTTGACCTGGTTGTCCTTGTCGTTGATGAGGCTCTTGAAGCCCTTCTCTTCAACTTCGGTAAGAGCAATTCTCTGGGTGATCATCTCTTTCGGGTCCATGTCTCCCCTGCTCAGTGCATCAATCACTTCCTGGAAGTCGCCAATCTCATAAGTCGCAATGCCCATGTACGTCCTCTCTTTGAAGTTGAAGTCGTTGGTGAAAATGGTGCAAGGCTTCTCCCATATGGCAATGTTGACGATGCAGCCTCGAGCGCGGGTGGCATGTACGGCCTGATTGAGAGCAGCCTGGACGCCGGCACAGTCGTAGACTACATGTACACCCTTACCTCCGGTGAGTTCGCGACAGCGCTTGGCAAGGTCTTCCTTGGTGGGGTCGATGATGTAGTGCGCTCCGAACTTTCTCGCAAACTCCTGTCTCTTTCTGCTCACTTCTGAGACGATGATCCGATCGCAGCCTTTCGCCTTCAGAGCTAGGATTGTTGATATACCGATGGGCCCACCCCCCAGCACCAATGCGACGTTGTCTTTCTTAAAAGGACTGATCTTGACTGCGTGCCAGCCGACAGCGAGGGGCTCAACGAGCGCACCAATCTCGAGTGGAACATTGTCAGGGAGATGATACAGAGTAGAGGTCGGAACGACGATGTGATCTGCAAGACCACCGCCCCAACCAGACAGGCCGATGAAGCCGTTGGACCAGCAGCAATTTTGCAGACCTTCCTCGCAGGCGCCGCAGGTGTCGTCGTAGATGATGGGCTGAATGACAACTCTGTCGCCGGCTTTGTAGTCAGTAACACCCTCGCCAACTTCCTCTACTGTGCCACTGAATTCATGGCCGAAGGTTAGTGGAACCGTTTCGCCGGTGATTGGGTGGGGCGTGGTAGGGCAGAGATTCGCGCCACCTAGGTGCTCAGCTATGGAGCGCATGTTCGTCATTCGAGTACATACCCAAATATTCGTGGAGGTATAAAGCAACGTCAGTTTCGCTGTCTCACTTTCTGTAATTGGGTCCTTACCTGATCCGCAAATTCCCACCCATGCCGGTTTCACTTTGACTTGCCCTGCTTTGACTTGGGGTATCGGAATCCTCTCGTATCGCAGGTCATGTTGCCCATGGAACCGCAGCGCGTTCATCGAGTTGTCATCTGCCGCGGCGGCCATTATGATCGAATTGGGTTCACACTATTAGAAGCGTATATGAGAGTGACTTGAAAGATGGCGGAGGACAAGAGAAGGACAGAAGTACTTGGTCAAGGTGGCGCAGGTAGTTTGGCTCCTTCCATGGCCGACAAACAGACGTCGCGCTCATTCCCCGGACTCGGTCAGTCCGTTGGCTTCGGTCTGTTCCTACTGGCAAGCGCATGTGTGCACCTGCTGCCCAAGATCACGGAATGCCCAAAAGGGTAAGCCTCCGGTTCATCACCCCGCATTCACGATGCGGGGTACCAGGTGGCATGGCAAATGGCCGGAAGCTTGACAACGCGAACCGATTTGCACTGGAGGAACCAAGTTCTGGACGAGTTCATCCATATCAGCTCGGCTCATGCGCATGCCATTGTAGCAGTATAAGAGCCGCGTGCCACTGAGGACTAGCTTGGTGCACCCGCGTACACAATCCTGGATTCTCAGCATATCCTACTGCATGCGCACTCATTGGTCGACGCTGCACGGAAAGGCAACAAAAAACAAACTCTGGATACACCTACCGATGACCTACCGATGAGAGATGAAGTGCGAGGCCCGGGTTATGACGTCGGCAACTAAAGCATGACGCTCGGCACTCGGAACAGCTACGTCGTCGTACTTTCCCCGTTTGGATCGAGCTCGGAAAATCTGTCATCGCCTTCGCTGAATTCGCCGGCGCTCGAATGCGACATTCTTACAACACGATATCTGGACAACGAAGATGACAGGAGCTATACAAGCGCATTGACGAAATCCACTGTAATTCGGTACGGTCGGAACGACCAGACGCGTATAGTGTGGATTAGCCAGCGCGACATGGCATGGTTTGCGATCTAGCCCTCGAAACCGTTGGCAGAACTCCGATGTGACGGTTAAAGTCGCGATCATTGACGCGTCAGTGACGGTCAAGAAAAAGGTACAATGCGCGCCATAGCGACAACGCGCTCGTGGCTGTAGGCCTACCCAATCAGGGAGCTGCAGGAGCCTCAACGGCGGGTACCCTCTCGTTCTCGTCCACTGTTATGACCTCACTGGACGAAGCGCCATGGGCCGACTCTAACAGCTGGCGGGGGATTGACCGATGCTTGAAATACGTGTGCATGCCCCTCAACACCTGCCCCTCCATCATCTCTCTCACCTCCCCAACAACATTTCCCATACTCCAATTCAAACCCAAACGCAACGATGCCCTACCCAGAGACCACCGACGCCTTCGCGGTGACCGACATCAAGAACTGGAGCACATTCAAGCGCCAGGAGGTTAGTCAATAAGCCAATCTTCCAATTGATAGCTGTACTGACATTTTCCCAGCTTCCCCTCAAGAAGTTTGAGGAGTACGACGTCGACATTGCCATTGACGCTTGCGGTGTCTGCGCTTCAGATGTCCACACCATCACTGGAGGATGGGGCGAGGAACTCCCTCTACCCCTCTGCGTAGGACACGAGGTTATCGGCAAGGTCGTCAAGGTCGGTGACAAGGTCACCCGAGTCAAGGTTGGAGACCGCGCCGGTATTGGTGCTCAGATTGGCGCCGACCTCACTTGCGACCAATGCAAGAACGACCAGGAGAACTACTGCCCCAACCAAGTCGACACATACGGTGCTAAGCACAACGACGGCACTGTCGCACAGGGTGGATACTCCAGCCATATTCGTGGCCACGAGTACTTTGTCTTCAAGATCCCAGACAACCTCGACACTGCCCTCGCAGCGCCCATGCTGTGCGCTGGTCTCACCACATACTCGCCCTTGAAGAGGTTAGGAGCCGGCCCCGGCAAGAAGGTCGGTATCATCGGACTCGGAGGACTTGGCCACTTCGGTGTCCTTTGGTCGGTAGCTATGGGCGCCGACACCTATGTCATCTCGCACTCTCCCAACAAGAAGGAGGACGCGATGAAGATGGGTGCTAAGGACTTCATTGTCACCAAGGACAAGGGCTGGGCTGAGCCATGGAAGTTCCAGTTCGACTTCGTCATCAACACGGCTGATGCGACTGACAAGTTCGATCTCTCGGAATACTTCTCCATCCTCAAGGTCAACGGTACCTTCCACATGGTCGGCTTCCCTGACAACCCGCTCCCTGCCATGCCCGCCCAGATCTTCGCACCCAACGGTTGCTACATGGGCGCGTCCCACATCGGAAACAGGCCCGAGATGGAGGAGATGTTCCAGCTTGCATCCAAGCAGAACATCAAGAGTTGGGTACAGGAGATCCAGCTCAGCGAAGAGGGCATCAAGGAGGCTGTTGAGCGCGTGTACAAGAACGACAACGTCAAGTACAGGCTCACCCTGACTGGCTTCGACAAGGTCTTCGGCAAGAGGGCTTAGATGGCTGCAAGAGCAGTGTGGTTGCCTTCTAGTACATAATAGATATCTATGAATAATGATGAATTTTGACGAAACTATTGCGCACTTGGTGTCGTCATTCCTGCCCATCGCGCGCGCTCGCCCCACCAGATCTCAGCGCGTCGCGTAGTTTTCGCCGGCGGGGATTATCCTGCCCCAACACCACAAATACACAACCCCCACCTACTCCACGGTGCTCCTTCAATTCCCACCTAAGCCCCGATCAACTCTCCGCGATGCCGTCGGTACCGATCCATCTCCCTTGCTCCTCCGCAACATCCTCTCGCGCCGAGAACCCCCTTCCGCAGCTCCTCCACACGCCCTCGGGCCTGGCCCTCATCGAAATCCAGGGCACAATCCACTTCCCCCCGCCTGCAGCCTCCGTGGCCTCCACACAAGTCGGCAAACTCGTCTTCCCACACTACAATCCCGCCATCAACGACCCGAGCGACACGAAATGGATGAAGCGCGTCTACATGTACGTCGGCAAAGGCCAGCGCATGACGGGCGAATGCAAGAAGCTGCCCACACCGCTTGGTGTCATTCGCAGGAGGGAGAAGATAAACGTCGAGGATGTGGAGATGAGTGGGCTTGGGGACGAGGATGGTGCGAAAGATGAGGAGCTGGAGATTGTGGAGGTGGTGAAGTACAAGATTGTGTTTTCGGCGCGCCCGGAGCCTATCAGTGGCGTCGCTGAGGTGGACTGAGGAGAGGAAGATGATGCAGATGCTTTCGTCCAGGTCTAAACGCCGGGATGGCCACTCGTGGTACACGCATAGCCTTCGAGCGATCGCGCAACGAACAAGAGCAAGCCTACGCACACGCGACGAGCCTCACATCATACGCGCGAGCCGGTGACCGGATGGAGTGCCCGTGTCGCACTGTCGCGAAACAATGGGATATCATACTGCCACACTTCGCGCTCAGACTCTAGGAGGGCGACCAGACCGACTGTTCAGACTTCGAGAAGGACTTCCGAGCAAGCCTTTGTTGTACGCGATATGAGCTGGTACCCGGATTTACAGGCTCGGTCGGCAATCCCTGCATGGGCTGCAGTCACAAGAATCGGGCGTTAGCCACTTGGACACCAGTATATTGATTAAGCAATTTGGCGTCGCACAAGCGTATTGCAGTTCAGCCTTGCTCCCGGGTTCTGGTGCTCGCTTGTCGCCCTAGGGTACTTTAACCACTTTACGCGGCGACCACGGTCCGAATCATATCCAGCACGAGCACTATATCTGGCATCATGTGGTAGCGTTCTGGAACGGAGATGGAAGATATATGGTAGCAGGATTGTACATCAAAATGTTCTATTCTCGAGAAGATAAGCAATTAGCTATCCACTTGAAGCAGTTGCCATACCTTGCCTCATCATGCGTTGCTCGATCACGACTCTGCTAGCCCTGCTAGCTAGCACTACTCATGCAGCTGTAGGAGATTGGCAGCAATGTATGCTCATCACAAAGTAGTTAGAGTACATTTGCTAATCGGAGACCAGGTGGTGGTACGAACTGGTCTGGAGAGACAGCATGCAACTCAGGTGCCGGCTGCGTCAAGATCAAGTAAGAGACTGAATCGCATTAATGCCTCGTGCACCAATGCTGACTTCTCAGTGACTACTATTCTCAATGCCAGCCCGGCGCGGCACCCGCACCTGCGCCCACGTCTACGTCTGGGCCCTCCACCATGTCCACTATGCCAGTACCAACATCTACAACAGTCACACCAGGTGCACCAACCACCCCCAGCACCCCCGCAGGCACCGGACCAGGCAAGACACTCCAAAGCGGCTACTACTGGATCCGCGGCGTCGCAGCCCCCAACTTCCACAAATACTTCCAAACGAACCCCCTCTATTCGACCGGCCCCGCCCTCCTCGGCGACTACACAACAGCAGGCCAGTTCCAGGTTGTCAGCGGCCAGCTGGTCCAACTCGTCTCCGCACCTGGCGAACCCGTCAAGCTTCTCTACGCCGTAGTATCCGAGGAGCGCTCCATCAACGGCATGTCGCTTGCTGTCAGCTTCTCGGAGAGCAAGAATACGTATGGTACGTTTGCGTGGGGTGGCGATGATCTTCAGTGGAGTGTTGCGGGTGTTAATCGGCCGAATAAGAGTGCGTGGTATGTGTGCACTGGGCAGAAGTTGTATATCAATTTGGGGAATTACTTGTATCAGACGCCGAGTGGGTGCGCTGATCAGACTGTGCATTACTACAACGATAAGACGGCGAACAACTAGGGCATGTATGCATGTGGTTGAAGAGACTCGGACGGCAGAGTGAAGAAGAGTTGGGGATGAGATAGATCAATTGAGTTCAGTAAACTACCGATCCAGACAAGAAGACCATGGCTCATAAGAGCTCATGGCTAATTCAGTGGAATCTCCATGTACCATTCAGTACCAATGCAGTGCTTTTGTTCTCTACCGGGGTCTTTTCTTCCTCAGGTCTTCTCTGTCATCCATTCAACCTAGCAGAGGTAGCCAACTACATCGCCGACGGTAGCGCAGTTGGCCATGAGGGGGTAATCGCACTGGCTACCATTGTTACCAGCCTCGCAGCGGAAGAGCGGGCAGGTGGAGTCGTAGGGACCACCGATCTGGCGGACGACGTCGGTGAAAGGGTTTCCGT